GAATAAAGAAAAGTTAGAGGGGATTTGATTGAGGTGTTTAAGACTGTTAAGGGAACTGGCAATGTTTATGCTTCATCTTTTTTCATACTTAACGGTGAGAATGGTATAACTAGGGGACACAAGTATAAATTTTGATACCATATGAGTAATCTTCAGCTAAGAAAATTTTATTTTTTTAACAGGGTGGTTGGCCTTTAGAACAGGTTGCCCTCAGATATTGTGGAGGAAGTAAACTGAAGTAAGTTTAAGAGAAAGCTTGATAACCATATGAATGATACAGTCTTGGTTTGAGGTTTTTATTTTTTATATTTAATAGTTTAGTTTAGTTTTAGATGCAGCAATAGGATCCCTTTTTGTCCCTAAACATTATGTTTTGTTAAATGTTTTTTTTTATTTCAGTGTGTCTACCAATCATTTTGATATTAAAGAGTTTATTTGCAAATTAAGTCTTTGTTTAACTATTTATTGTATTTTGTGTTTATAGATAAAGGGCTTTTGTTTTTATTATGCAATGACATTTTATTTTATATGTAAAATGTTAGAATACCCCTCCAAAACAGGGTAGGTGATAATTGTTAAATTTTTAAATTGTGCTTTTCAATGTTAACCCTTTCATTATGGGCTTGGGCAACTTGAAAAGAGTGGATATTATGATGTTTTACATAATTACATTCAAGATTTCATTAACCCTAAAGTTACAGGTACTCTCTTCTACACATGTTGCGAGGTTTTACTGAGTTACATGTAAATGTTACTAAACAACTTTTTTATAAATATATAAAGCATTAAATTATCTAAGATTTAATTCCTTTATTTCAAAAGAAAACAGTAAAAAAAGTAGTAAACTTCAGTTTTGTTATCACGTGACACAAATGTTCACAAATCTTAACTTATGGTCTCTATAATTACATATACTACTAACAAAAAAACATTTAAAATTGTTGGTACATAGGGATGGAAAAAGATCATACACTGCACTCACATGGTGAATGCATATATACATTAGGTGGCGGAATGCAGGAATGGGTAATGCAGATTTTCCTTCTATCCAAAATGCTCTCTAGTTTCTCAACTTTTTCCATCTCTACATGCAAACATTTTAGAATAAAATGTTTTGATATTAGTTTCTGCACTATTTATGAGTTGAAGTTTTGGCTTCCTGTGAGGCTGTAACTTCTAGGTGGAAGACACCATTTCAACAACTTATTCATTTCTATTCTATAAGGAGCCGTAATAAATTATATAGACATTACTTCTTGAAACAAGATAAGTCATGACCAGGATAATGAATTGTGAGGTAAGGAGTATATGGTAGATTATCTACTTCCATATAACTCACATAATGGCTTACTGATCAGAGACTGTAATTAATACTTTGGGCTATAACTAACCTATCATGGATCATTTGCTACTCTAGATATGAAAAGAAACATACTAGGGAGTAGTGAAGTGTTTTGGTGTGCAGGCTGGTTGTCGGCACACTGGTTTACAAGTTACAGTTGATGGAGAAGAAGAATAAATTCATTTTTTTTGCAGCCCATTTTCTAGACGAAGAGCATTTGATCTCTATCCCTTTGGTTGGGTTTTTCCCAAGGTCCTGGCATACACACTACCATATGCAATGTACAGGCCGCCATTTTTAACTTGACCCATCCTTACATAAGTATTGCTACCACACTCCCTGACAGCATACTTTTAAAATGTCTAGTTAAAAACTGTATTAATTGTTCTTTTTACACATCCTCCTTTCAAATTCCTTATGGTCAGTTCTTTCCAACCAAAGGAAATAAGTTTTTCTAACTCCTGACAAATGCCACTCCCACCTTCTATACTTAAGATTTTGAAGCCACATGTATTTAATTGACATACATGTTTATAACCAATTGAAAGTGCTCATCGTGAACTGTGTAACACTGTTAGTCTTCCTAAATTATTGATGTGGGGAAAGCCAATATACTGGAGAGTTTGAAGTGTGATTATCAAGGCAATAGTTCTAACAGAAATGAAATTTTTTAGACCTTCATATAGTTTATTAAAAAGCCAAATAAATTAAAGTGTTTTTTTTGTGGTATGAAACTAGTAATCTAAAGTTCTTGGCATTTAAAAATGAATACATAAAATCTACAAAAATTAATTTTTCTATCCCCTCCATGTGCAAGATTCAATGAGGATCAGCAAGTACAATGCATGAATTCAAAAATATTTTGTAACATTGTAAGTATTAGATATCATTGTTTTCTATATATATATATTTTTTTTTTCTTACTGTTCTGTGTTTTAAGAAAAATAACTGAAATGTAAGAATGTATAAGTAAATACTAATAATATATATACATATATAATGTATGGTAACTGAAATGTCACTGTAGGGAATAAGTGGTGTCCAAAACATCTACTTGTTTATTCTAGAAAGTACCTTACTATGTATGGTCCACGAAAATAATACTGGCATCTGCAGTGAACCATTGCTTTATGTTCAGTATGTTTTTATGTTTCTCACAAAAAGTCATGAGTAAATTCACAAACAAATCTTTAATTAAAATACTTAATTAAAAAATCTGATTTTTTGTGTACAAAACCTTTATGTTTCCCGACAGTCTGTGAAATTTCATTATGATATGCAGACATAATCAAAAGTTATAGTATGACTAATCTTATGGTTACTTTGGTGGTTACATGTTAGGCACTTTGGGTTAAGTTTATTACCACAATATGTCACAAAATGTGGCATAAAAACTTAGTTTCATAATTTCAATAAGAAATATTAAAAAAATCTCAATCTTCATTTCTCTGTGTCACATGATATGGAAGTTTGCTCTCAATTCTCCCTTTTAACTTGTATAACTTTAATAATATAGCTTTTGCAGAGCCAAACCAATAATAAACACAAACTATAAATAATGAGAAGCTCAAATATAAATGTCAAATCTTCTACCTTCTCAACAGTTCAGTTCATGTGAATATATCATACTACAGCACAGTGTCACACACTTCTTCAATTTCAATTTTTTAGTATAAAATCTTAAATAATGACTAACTTTTAATAGGTTTTAGGCATAAAACTCCATACTATAACCTGGGCCAAGCTATATTTTAGAAAGAAATCAACAAGAATATTTTACTGGATGAATAGGTATAGAAAAATAGAACTAAATACCTTACCTTTATAAATTATTGAACTATAGAGATAGTAAAATTTAGTTCCATTTCTAATTTAGGCAGTCATGCTTATTTAATTTTGAACTTATGGGTGGAATTTGAGAGATTACTAGTTTTTAATGTTTTATGTAGGAAGATAGTCTAGTTTATTTTGTGATTGTGATATTTCTGTTGTTAGGTGGTGGGGGTCGGAGTATTAATTGAATTACTGTTAATTTAAGATCTTTATTGTATTTGTTTGAAATTTCTATATTTTTTGATTTAATACTGTGTAACTGGTATTGTGGGGGTACTATCATGCACACAAATAGCCACAGATGGTGAACTGTAGGTTAACTTGGGATTTTCTGAGCTTAAGTACACAGGGCATACACCTTATTATTATTATTTTTCTTCATTTGCTTGCATAATATTTTTTAATCTGTGATTTTGAAGTCATTGAAGAAATGAGACTTCCATGTGTGTTTTCAGGGTGTAAACAGAAGTTTAAAAAATAAATTCCCTGACTTTTTCTAAGTTTTCACTGACCATTCACATTATATAAACATGTATATAAAGGAAAATATGCTCAGAAATCACTGTATTGTATTAACTACTTTAAGTGAATTATTGAGCTTATTATATACTAGACGTAGTAGCTAGCCAATACATTTCTGTTAGTGATTATTGACCAAAAGAAGACTTACAAAAAAAATCTCTGAATTTTTCCCTTTTTTCAATATTTTCCATATTTTTACTAGTTCTGGGTGTTATTTTGCAGCTATTTTACTTTTATAATATTGGAGTATGTATAAAGTCACAATAAATTTACCAAATGTTTAAGTTTTCTAAATGGAGCAACAATATTATTTGTATCTTTATGTAGGTATTTGTCACTGATGTGCAATATATTTGATATTCTTTTCCTGCTATATGTTTCATAATATTCATGCATGAAAAAAGAAGGACTGGACATTTGGAGTACTGTGTTCATTCTTGGGCACTGTACTTCAGAAAGAACACTAAACTGTTGGAAAGAATTCAGAGAAGGGCTACTAAGAAGATACAAGGGTTACCATACAAAGTCAGGACAAGATCTCTGAAACTGTTTTCTCATGAAAAAAGAAGAGTTAGAGGGGATCTGGTTGAGGTGTTTAAGATTATCAAAAGAACTGATAGTGTTGATACATTATCTTTTTTTTTTTCATACTTAATAGTGAGAATGGTAAGACTAAGGAACATAAATATGTGTTTTGGGAAGGTAGGAGTCATCTTAAGTTAAGAAAGCTTTATTCTGATTGACCTTTGGAATGGATTGTCTTCAAATGTTGTAAATGTAGTAAATTTAAGGGAGTTTTATGGAAGGGTGATAAATATTTGAGTGATAAGGTTTGGATTTGAGTATTCTATTTTTATTTTCAAGTTTAATATAGTGGGTGGGATGACCTAGACATATCAATAGGTGTCTTGTTATCCTTAGATTGTGTGTGTGTGTTTAATATATATATACATATAAACTAACAACAGGATGTTAAAATTTTGGTATACAACAACATTGAAGTACTAGCTGAAGTACAGCAAAAGCGTACTTAATAAAAGTAGATTATAATAAGTACCAACAAGAACTAAATCTTCCACACAGATTAACATACACACAATGAGAAACTTTAAGAAACTTCAGACATGATTAAAAACTTAACAGGCATTTCTGCAAAACAAGAAAAATATATATACTTTTTGTTAAAGTAATACCTCTATTTTGTATAAAAAACAAACAAACAAGAAACATAAATAATGTTCTAAAAACAAAAAGCTTTAAATGAGTATTTTGTCCTGTAAAGTTAGGAAATACATTATTTTACCTTTATAATATCAATGCTTCCTGTAACATCAAACATCAAAATATCCCTATGGAAAGGTTTGAGGGCTCGTTTGATGTCAAGTCGAAATTTCACTGGTTCTAAAATTGGTTCCTGATGTTGAAGAATGCCATCCAATAAAATAATAGCCCTGATTTCATAACAGAAAGTGTTATTGAATGTAAAGCTATCAATGGAAGCTATGTTGTAGTTGTATGAATTCATACAGAGATAGCATAACACTAAAACAGAATTATTTGAAAGAAAAAAAAAATTATATAACTTACAATTTTAAATCAGCAAAATCTATATGATTATCAAAGAAAGTTTTCAGTTTTATTAAAAATATTTAAATACCTTCATTACTTTAATATATGGATGAAACTAACATGGTACAGTTTTTTCTATAATGTTTACATCTGCTCCAGTAAAGATAGTCTTTAGAATATCATTAGAAAACTTTCACACAACACACTGTAATATCAGAGAAACTACACTTTTAACATACATTTTTCTTTATGTTTATTTCTCTCTAAGCAACACCACAAAAGACAAGGCACCAACAATAACATATTATGTATTCATGCTTGACAAGTTTTAAAATTTATAAAACAATATTTTATGGTTTTTACAGTTTTAATAAAATATACCTGCAGAGTTGTAAGGAGTTAAGTCTCATCAGAATGTTGTCTACAAGATGAAGTGAGCCATCACTAGGGATATGCACTTCTTTAAAGAGGTTTTCCACACTCAAATCTCCTAGGCTTAATACTAAAAGATTTGGTGATGCAGACTTCTGAGGCACCATGATTGTTGGTGCATGAATATCGACTGATAAGTGAAGTTTCATGCTTTGTTTCTTCAACTCCATTATCTACAAAAATAAAAAAAATGCATTTTTTGTATTTTAATATTTAGGCTTAATTTTCCAAATGCCATAAAGCACTATAATTAATAAATTTTATCTTTTTTTTGGTGTGCTAGAAGTCAAATTTAAAGAATAGTTTTGGATAGAAAACAGCTGTAGCATGAAGAAATAAGTACTTTCACAGTTATAGAATGTAATGTTAAAAACTAAATATATCTTGAAAAAAACAAGCATAAAACAAAATTATTTTTGCTAGTTCTATTCTACATTTTCCTTGAAACTATTAGTTTATATTTTTTTTATAAGAATTTCTTTCAACTTCTTGTACACTTTAAAACTTTTCTTAACTTTTTCTTCTGTCTTTCTTCAGTAGTGTTTTTCTTGTATTTTTGATTATAAATGCAATTATTGTATCTACTTAAGGATTTATACTAGCAACAAATACATAAGATAAAAAAGAACAACTGTAGCAAATCATAAACATTCTAAACATTTTAAAAGAATGAATTATAAACTCACCAAAATAAAATGAAAATCAAAGAAAATCATCTTTCAAAAATTATTACATCTAAACCTTTTTAAGAGTCTTTTTTTAAGTTTAACTATGAAACTAATGTGTAAACCTATTCTATTTATATCTTTATGACAATCTGTCAGTATAATATTCTAGTTTATTATTATTATTATTAACTTTGTATAATGAAAACTAAAGTTTATTATAAGACACTTTTATAAACTTAAGTAAAATAACAATCTTTATCTCTAGAATGTAACTTTATTAGCTCAATATTTCACTGTTACAGCTTCATCAGAAGCTATTGATATCCTACCAGACAACTATTCCAGTTGAAACTAAATTTGAACGCTGTCTTCAGTAAATTGAACATTGAACAGTGTTCAGGAAGATCAGATCATATTAAAATAATATCGAACATTCTTGAATTTAAATTGTTGAAACAAGTCAAACCAGTAATGCTAAACAAATAATGAGTAAACCAACAGGTAAACTATTAAAATCATTGGATTTAGAATAGGATACATTATGCATATAAAATATATTTGCATATTTGTATCCGTAAGTATTATTTCAACATATTATATCAATACATACACAAAATAATGTCTGAAAATATATTTTAGCCTTATGAGTGGATATAGGGGCTAATTTAGTCTCTTATTAGATTCCATGAGTTCTTAAATACTGTTCATCCATTTATAAAAAAAATTAAACTTGCACCATTTCTAGATACTACAATTCATGTCAGGAATGGAGAAGTCATTACTGGTATTTTCAGCAGGCCACTTATTAAAGCCCTTTGTTTGGATTTCCATTCACATCACCCCCTTGGAGTAAAAAGGTGTGTAGTTATTGGCTACCTCCATAAGATTTATAAAATTTGTAATAACAAAGAAGTATGGGAGGAGGCTAGGGAATATCTGATGACTCTTTTAATAAATATTTCTTATCCACAGGAATTTATACAAAAATTTTGATAGGCGTAAAAAAAAAAACATCTTCTCTTGAACCAAAGAAAGAAAGAAAAAAAATTAAAGCTCAGGTTATTTGAGTGATTCCATGTATAAGTGATAATATTACCACAAAACTGAAGAGAATAATTAGAAGATCAGACTTACCTATTAACTCTCTCAACATGGGTCCCGTCAATTTGACCGACCACATGACCTCCTTGTACTCGTTTAAAGTCTTTATAGATATAATACTGTTAACATTAAATATTGTGTGTATAATTTCACAAAATTTGGCAGTCTTTCAGTTAACATTACAAGTCTTTCACACACAAAAATCATATTTTTAGTGAAGTATTTTTAATAAACTAAAATAAAGATTTGTCTTGATTAGTTCGTGTGCAAAGTAATTTTCATGTTAAAATTAAAAATACTTTTCCTCATCTCAATTTTCCTTTGTGTAATCCTTAAAACATCCTAAAATCATTTCAAACGTATTTTTTCAGTTACACTTTATAGTTTATCTGTTATTTTGTCTACCCTATCTCAAAACAGGATCAATCAATTTGACCAACCTCGTAACCACCAAAAAAAATATCAGAATAAACCAAAATTACTCTTTTTTTCTTTCTAGAATGACTTCAAGTTGTAACATAAAACTACATTCATTTATCCTAAGTAGCTATAAGTTTGTAACAGTATACATCTATTTATAATTAAATTTTATTGTTTTATTGCCCTTTGAACTGTGTATAACTACTATCTGTGCCATTATAGGTTGTAAATCACCCAGGGAAAGTGCAGCTCACATTACGCTATCGAATTACATTACCCACATGCTGCTCACGTGCATGCCTCATGAACCA